TTTTTTTTTTAAGGAATCCAGGTGCACAGAATTGGGTTCATCAAACATAATCTTTGCTTCATGATGTACTGTCATCATTGCTCCATGCATGGCCTGCTCTTCTTTCTTGTATTGTGTACTGAACCTCCATCGATATGGTTACCATGGCTGCATTACAAATTATCCCAAAATTTAGCAGCATAAAACAGCCATTTATTATGCTCAAGGATTCTGTGGGTCAGTATTTGGACGGAGCACAGTGGGGAAGGCTAGTCTCTGCTCCATGATGTCTGGGGCCTCAGTAGGAAGCCTTAGAAGTCTCAAGGCTGGATTCATCTCAGGTTTGCTCACTCGTAGGTCTGGCAGTAGATGCTGGCTGTCAGCTGAGACTTAGCTGAAGCTGTTAGCAGAAGTACCTACATGTGGCCTGTGTGGCCTGGGCTTTCTCACGGCTTGGTGGCTGGGTTCCAGAGGCTCAAGAGAAAGTGAGCCAAAAGGAAATTGTGGTGGTGGTTTTTATGACCTAGCCTTAGAATCAGATTAGACACTGCCACTCTCATCCTGTTCGAAATGATTTTTTCAGGGTACTTGTTTTTTTATCACAGCAACTGCTAAAATACCACCTTAGCAAAAATATGATGTCATCAAAAGAAATGCAGCAATCTAGTGTTAAAACTGTGAACTACCCTAAGTTAGTAGTTTACAAAGTTACTGACAGATGTGGTTGTATTTCCCTGTGGTGCCCTCGAGTGCCGTAGGGCACAGTTTGGGAACCAAGGTCCTAAGGAGAGAGCTATGTCTGCTGCACTCAGCATTAGCTAGGGCAGATTCAAAGTTGGGATCTGGAATCATCTGAATGCTAGTTCACTTACATTTCCAGTGGTTGATGCTGGCTGTTGGCTGAGATGTTAGTTGGGGCTGTTGGCTGGTACACTTACCCATGTCCTTTCCATGTGGCCTGGGTTTCTTGTGTGATGGCTAGGTTCCACAGACAAACATCTCAAGAGAGATCCAAGCAAAAGCCGTATCACACTATATGACTTAGCTTTACAATTCACAGCTTGTCACTTCTCTCGTTCTCTTCATTGAGGCAGTCACAAAGTTTCACCTGGTTTCGAAGGGAGGGGTAATAGAGGCCCCCTCTTGATGGGGGGGCAATGTTTTAGAAGAGCATGTGGGACCAGAAATATTGCTGTCTCTTATTTTATTTTATTTTTTT